AAGTTAATCAGTTGCACTTGGCCTGAAGATTGTGTTCAAGCATAAAACAGACTATCGCTGCTTGGTGTTGACCTCAGTGTCCATTTTATATTTACATACCATGTATGCCATGCATAGGCGATCATGTATCTTTCAATACATGACTGACGAGGCAGATTTTTCCTGCAGTAGGTTGCCATTTCTTTCTGCAGTAGACCAGTTGCAATTCAAGGCTATAGAACCTGGTCTATTCTGCTATTTACCCATAACAAGGGTAGAAGAGGATTCATACCTTTCCCAAAGGTATTAGCACATAAGTGAATGCAATAAGTTTGACTGGAATTTGAACTTGGCTCTCTGATTCCTCAATCTGAGCCGCTATCCATTACTCCACTGTGCCTCCTTATATTTACATACTATCTCTGATATTGAGCACTTTTACTCATAATATAGTATAGCTTTTAACTATATTTTTATCATATATGTGTATATAATTTATGTCTAACAAAAGAAACACTTGTTCCAAACTTTTGTTAATTTTGTTTTAATAAATGTTATCTTTGTATAGAAAATCAGTTGGTCTGTTTATGCATTGACTCATTTTCACCACTTTTATTTCATGTACTATAAAATGTTCCTGTAAGAAACCTTATGCATTTAATTATTGAAGGAGTTAATCACTAAAATGGTACCCACCTATGAGAAATGAACAATCTTCAAATTTTACCTTCCTGAGGCAGTTAGTTCTGGATCATCCTGGGTATGACAATAAACTACGTTCAACTGCAAAGCCTCTGATCAGGAGGTTCTGAGGAGCATGGAACCACCTCTTAATTGCTGACCCAGGGTGGTAGTACCTGTTAGGGTCCCACCTATGTGCAAATAGTTAACCTCCAAACTGGAGTCAAAACACTATGAAAGTGTAAAAATACCAGCAATAAATTTTTTGAGAAAAAATTATTACCAGCAATACATTTTTGAAACAAAAAGTATTAGCAGCAATAATTTTTTGGCAAAAAATATTACCAGCAATAAAAATCTTGTTGGCATTAAATAACCCATTGAGGTTGATATGTCATAAAACAAAACAAACTAAACCAACCTTAGTTCTGGTGTTATGGCCTCTTGAAATATGTAAATTTTTGCTGATTTAAAAATAGCGCAATTTGCTGACTTTGGTACTTTATAACATTGTATTCTTAGAAGATACTTAATATCTGTTGGTTCTGTAGTCTAATACATATAGAAATAATTTAGTTTTTATTTTATGTCTCATCTATAGTTATATATAGTTCATAGTTATAGGCCACTAAAAATGGGAAAAAATGCTGTTCAGTGAGTTTTGGTGGATGTAATCTCATCAACATAAATATCACTTTAGTTTGATGAAGGACTAAATGTTGAAACATATCACAGAAAATTTTTTTCCGCTTTGTTATAGATTTTCCTAATATATATGTGCATGCATGTGTATGTAAAAATTCAGATATGACAAAATATATCTGTAAAAAGTCAATATGAATAAATACAAAAAGAAAAGTTTTTCTTAGCCAATGCATTTTGTTATCTGATGGACTTTATCAAGGCAAATGTAATGATTTTAATTTATTTTGCAACAAGTACTTATAAAGAAAGATAAGTAAAATGTTAGTTTTATAAAATCTTTAAGAATGCTTTTAAATCTTTTTGGCTAACTGTAAGTCAAGGTGTACTATGGAAGATGCTAAATGATGCAATTTAATGCTTAATAAAAAAATGTGAGTAAATGTTGTTATTGTGGTTTGATTTTTTTTTAATAATGTAATTATTATTTATTTTATTTTAGTTTAAGAAATATGTATTTATATATTTGAAATAATGGAAGGTTTTGAATTTCAGTTTTCTCTTAATTTAAATTTTTTTTTGTCATGGAAAGGAGATATTTGAAAAAAATCCAGGGCACTGATTTATATTTTGGTAAAATTAGATAGCAGCACTCTGAAGAATTTTCCATCTAAGTACATTACTTTATCTTTTAATAAATATATGAAGAAAATAGAAGGACATATTAAAGGATTAAACAGGGATTTGGGCTTTATATATTTAATATATTTTCTACAGGGAGTCCTCTAACTAACAACAACAACTTTTTAATATTTATATATATATATATATATATATATATATATATATATATATACACACACACATTTTCAAAATAAAATTACATATTAAAGGATTAAACAGTATTTGGGTTTACTCAGAGAATATATTTTCCTCAGGGAATCCTCTAACCAACAACAACAACAACAATTTTTTCTTTATATATATATATATATATATATATATATATATATATATATATATATATTTATATATATATATATATATAAAAAATTATACACATATGTTATAAAATCACACAAAAATAGTAATTGTTGGTTATTTTAATATATATAAATCACATTTTATTAAAAGGGTCAAACAGGAATTTGGGTTTACTCGGAGAATATATTTTCCACAGGGAGTCCTCTAACAACAACTTTCTCTTTCAATATATAAAGAAGTGTATTTTTATATATATATATATATATATATATATATATACACACACACACATTTTCAAAATAAAGTTACATATTAAAGGATTAAACAGGTATTTGGGTTAACTCAGAGAATATATTTTCCTCAAGAAATCCTCTAACCAACAACAACACCACCAACATTCCCCAGATGAGCGAGTCCCACTTCTTTGCTTATTTCTTGTCTCAGTGAAAAAAACACAGGAGTGTCCAAAAATTATGACTTTAAAATCTTTCTCTTTATGCTTCAATTTAATCAAAACTCCTACTAATCTATATAATAAATGTGAATGTCAGTGTGTCACACTTTTTCAAATTTACTCCTACAGATTGTAGCCCAACATAGAAGAGGTGGTTACATTTAACTATTTCTACAGAGAAGGGGTAGGACTGAGATACCAACCTAGTAGCACACTTAAATTCATGCAGTTGGAGTGGCAGTGAAAACAGCTCATCAGAGCAGTTGCCATGAAAATATTTGTAGAAAAGACAGAGGGAAGCCACATCATGTCTATGAGAAAATGACTGGAGTCAAGATACCAGGTCAGGACCTATCACATTGCATAACCGTCTTTGGATTTTGTTGAGAACCTCAAGACGAACAGTTGGGGCACCAGACCATATATGGCAACAGCATTCAATGTAAGGATGAATGGTATATTTGTACATTTGAAGGATAGACTCAGGTTAGAAAAAACCTCTGGCACAGCACGGAGAATCAACTTTCCTTGAGGTAAATGAAGCTATTGATTCAATGTAGTTGTTCCACCCCAGGTTAGTAGAAAATGTGAGACCAAGAAACTGCATAGAGATGCTCTCATGAAGTTGAGCATCAGCCATGCTGATAGGAGACAGGGAGGGTTCTCTATGGTGGGTAAATGAGAGCAGTTTTGTTTTGGAGGGATTAAGGTTTACAAGCCTGCCCCAGTCAACTACAGATTGGAGATCCTTTTCAAGACCAATGGCCAAGTTAACTTTGTCAGCAATGCCGGATTTACTATTGAGACAGGAGTAAATTGTAGTGTCATCTGCATAGAAGCCTACTTAAGAATTTGTGACATCAGGAAGATCATTGATGAAGATCAGAAACAGTGAAGGATCCAGGATATAGCCCTGGGGAACACCAGCATTTGTATGAAAGGAACTGGAGGAGAACCTGTTTAAGATGACCTTCATTTCACAGTTTGACAGGAATAATTGGATTGAATCAAATAATCATCCTTTAATACCATATCCCAGAAGCTTACAAAGAAGGTTGGCATGCCAAACCCTATCAAATTCCTTAGAGATATCTAGAGCCACAGATTGAGCTTTGCTGTTATTATCAAGAGCTTGGTGTACAAATTCAGTTATGGCTGTGAGCACGTTAGCAGTAGACTGGGCAAAGCGGAAACCATATTGTTTTCAGAGAGTAGATTATGGGAAGTAAGGTCCTTACCTGCTTTGGAATTTATTCAAGTCTCAAAGACTTTGCTGAGGAGTGGTAAGAGGCTGATAGGGCAGTAGAAAAATGGGTCCCAGTATGTTGTGTGTGTGTGTGTGTGTGTGTGTGTGTGTGTGTGTGTGTGTGTGTATATATCGCTCTTTTATACAAGTTTTGTTAAAAATGACTGATAAGGTACTGTGGTAAAGTTTTTATTTAATTCTTTCTGTTCTTATATAAGTGTGTAAAAAATTTAAGATATAACTACAATATATTTGTAAAAGGACAATATGAATAAACGCAAAAAGAAAACTTATCTTAGGCGGAAATGCATCAGATAAGAAAAGTTTTCCTTTGTTTTTTTTTTTATATATATATATATATATATATATATATATATAAACAAGAAAAATACATAAAACTTAACCAAATATTCTTTCATGCACAGTTACATATGACTCAGGTATTTCTTAACTTTTGAAGAATATTTTATAATATCAGACAAATAACAGATAAGATTTTTTTTCAGAAATTCTATCAATTCACCCACTCAATTTTTGTATTCAATTTGCATCTATAATTTCTTAAAGTATATATATTTTTTATGGAATAAATACTACAGTTAAATATTTTAAAAAAATATGTAACCTTAAAAATTATATTCCAAATGCATGGAACCTATTTAATGGAAAGGGTGGGAGTTTACGAGTTGAATGAAGTTTAGTCACTGACAAGAAAAATAATGCCAAGAACCAGAGCATTTGATAAAAATGCATCTTTTTTATTTCTCTTTATTCGAACCATTTTTCTTTCAAATCAAATATGCTTGCTTTTATTTCTTATTTTGCAATGTGCTTTTTAGCGTTCCATTCAAGTCAAAGCTAAATATGAATGTTATAAATTCCTTCTGACCTTTTACCAGGCTCACTGTTGCATGCAAGTGTACTGAGTACATTTTGGTGAACATTCATGAATACAGACACATGCATACATCTGCTCATAAACATCTCTAAATATGTGAATAGTAAAAAATACAAATGAATTCACATCTGTCTATCAATCTCTCTCTCTCTTTTTATCTATCCATCTATCTATCTCATTCTGCTCACATCTCTCTGTCACATTCTAGTCATATCTATCGATCTCAGTCTTCTCATATCTATCTATCTATCTATCTCAATCTGCTCATATCTATCAGTCTGTTCACATCTATCTATCTATATATCTCAGTCTGTTCATATCTATCTATCTATATATCTCAGTCTATTCATATCTATCTATCTATCTATATATCTCAGTCTGTTCATATCTATCTATCTATCTATATATCTCAGTCTGTTCATATCTATCTATCTATATATCTCAGTCTGTTCATATCTATCTATCTATATATCTCAGTCTGTTCATATCTATTTATCTATCTATTTCTCAGTTTGTTCATATCCTATCTATCTAAATATAAATATAAAAGTGAACATTGAAGTCAACACTCAGAGATTTTTTCTCGACTATTTATATATATTATTTACTCTATTTGGTTTTCGATTTTTGAGTAATGTAGTAATTTTTTTTTTATCATTATATAGCAGTTCTGTCTATTTTTATGTCCAATTTTTGGATTGATTGTTGTTATTCTAATGCAGTCTATTCTAAATAGTCAAGAAAAAATCCAACACTCACAGCCTGACAATTGCGTCGAGCATGAAACAGCCTGTTGCCTCTGAGTGTTGACTTCAATGTTCACTTTTATACTTATATTTACATACGCTCTATCTCTGAAATTGAGCACTTTATCCCATAAGTATAGCACACCTTAAAAATATATTTCTTCATATCTATCTATATATCTCAATCTGTTTATATCTATCTATCTATCTCAGTCAGTTCCTATCCAGCTATCTAAGTCTATTCATATCTATCTATCTATCTATCTAAGTCTGTCCATATCTATCTATCTATCTATCTCAGTTTGTTCATATCCTATCTATATCATTCTGCTCATCTCTCTCTATATCTAGCTATCTATCTATCTCAGTTTGTTCATATCCTATCTATATCATTCTGCTCATCTCTCTCTATATCTAGCTATCTATCTATCTATCTCAGTTTGTTCATATCCTATCTATATCATTCTGCTCATCTCTCTCTATATCTAGCTATCTATCTAAGTTTGTTCATATCCTATCTATATCATTCTGCTCATCTCTCTATATCTAGCTATCTATCTATCTATCTAAGTTTGTTCATATCCTATCTATATCATTCTGCTCATCTCTCTCTATATCTAGCTATCTATTTATCTCAGTTTGTTCATATCCTATCTATATCATTCTGCTCATCTCTCTCTATATCTAGCCATCATCTATCTCAGTTTGTTTATATCCCATCTATATCATTCTGCTCATCTCTCTCTATATCTAGCTATCTATCTATCTCAGTTTGTTCATATCCTATCTATATCATTCTGCTCATCTCTCTCTATATCTATCTATCTATCTCAGTTTGTTCATATCCTATCTATATCATTCTGCTCATCTCTCTCTATATCTAGCTATCTATCTATCTCTGTTTGTTCATATCCTATCTATATCATTCTGCTCATCTCTCTCTATATCTAGCTATCTATCTATCTATCTATCTCAGTTTGTTCATATCCTATCTATATCATTCTGCTCATCTCTCTCTATCCATCTATCTATCTATCTCAGTTTGTTCATATCCCATCTATATCATTCTGCTCATCTCTCTCTATATCTATATCATCTATCTATCTCAGTTTGTTCATATCCTATCTATATCATTCTGCTCATCTCTATCTATCTAGCTATCTATCTATCTAAGTTTGTTTGTGGAATAATCTATATCATTCTGCTCATCTCTCTCTATATCTAGCCATCTATCTCTGTTTGTTTGGTATATCCTATCTATATCATTCTGCTCATCTCTCTCTATATCTAGCTATCTATCTATCTCTCAGTTTGTTCATATCCATATTTATATCATTCTGCTGATTCATCTCTCTCTATATCTATTAATCTATCTATCTCAGTTTGTTCATATCCTATCTATATCATTCTGCTCATCTCTCATCTCTCATCTATATCTCAGTTTATCTATCTATCTATCTCAGTTTGTTCATATCCTATCTATATCATTTTGATCATCTCTCATTCTATATCTAGCTATCTCTCAGTTTGTTCATATCCTATCTATATCATTCTGCTCATCTCTCTCTATATCTATCTATCTATCTATCCCAGTTTTATTCTATATCATCTGCCCATCTATATCATTCTGTTTTCATCTCTCTATATAATCCTGCTATCTATCTATCTATCTATCAGTTTGTTCATATCCTATCTATATCATTCTGCTCCATCTCTCTCTATATCTAGCTATCTATCTATTTCAGTTTGTTCATATCCCATCTATATCATTCTGCTCATCTCTCTATCTATCTATCTATCTATCTAAGTTTGTTCATATCCCATCTATATCATTCTGCTCATCTCTCTCTATATCTATCTATCTATCTATCTCTGTTTGTTCATATCCCATCTATATCATTCTGCTCATCTCTCTCTATATCTCTATCTATCTATCTCAGTTTGTTCATATCCTATCATTATCATTCTGCTCATTTATCTCTATATCTATCTCATCATATCCTATCTCAGTTTGTTCATATCCTATCTATATCATTCATATCCCATCATTTATTCTCTCATCTCTAGCTATATCTATCTATCTATCTATCTCAGTTTGTTCATATCCTATCTATATCATTCTGCTCATCTCTCTCTATATCTAGCTATCTATCTAAGTTTGTTCATATCCTATCTATATCATTCTGCTCATCTCTCTCTATATCTAGCTATCTATCTAAGTTTGTTCATATCCTATCTATATCATTCTGCTCATCTCTATATCTATCTATCTATCTCAGTTTTTTCATATCTAGCTATATCATTATCTATCTATCAGTTTGTTTTTCATATCCTATCTATATCATTCTGCTCATCTCTCTCTATATCTATCTATCTATCTAAGTTTGTTCATATCCTATCTATATCATTCTGCTCATCTCTCTCTATATCTAGCTATCTATCTAAGTTTGTTCATATCCTATCTATATCATTCTGCTCATCTCTCTCTCATCTCTCTCTATATCTATCTATCTCAGTTTGTTCATATCCCATCTATATCATTCTGCTCATCTCTCTCTATATCTAGCTATCTATCAATCTCAGTTTGTTCATATCCCATCTATATCATTCCCTCATCTCTCTATATCTAGCTATCTCTATCTATCATTATCTATCTCTCTATATATCTTGCATTATTATATCCTATCCCATCTATATCATTCTGCTCATCTCTCTCTATATCTAGCTATCTATCTATCTCAGTTTGTTCATATCCTATCTATATCATTCTCTCTCATTCTGCTCATCTCTCTCTATATCTAGCTATCTATCTATCTCATTTTGTTTACATTATCTATATCATTCTGCTCATCTCTCTCTATATCTAGCTATCTATCTATCTCAGTTTGTTCATATCCTATCAATATCATTCTGCTCATCTCTCTCTATATCTAGCTATCTATCTATCTCAGTTTGCATTATCCCTATCTATATCATTCTGCTCATCTCTCTCTATATCTAGCTATCTATCTATCTATCTCAGTTTGTTCATATCCCATCTATATCATTCTGCTCATCTCTCTCTATATCTATTATCTATCTCAGTTTGTTCATATCCCATCTATATCATTCTGCTCATCTCTCTATATCTAGCTATCTATCTAAGTTTCATCTCATTTCAGTTTGTTCATATCATTCCTCATCTCTCTATATCTATCTATTTATCTATCTCAGTTTGTTCATTATCTATATCATTCTGCTATCTATATCATCTATCTATCTATCTCAGTTTGTTCATATCCCATCTATATCATTCTGCTCATCTCTCTCTATATCTAGCTATCTATCTATCTATCTCTGTTTGTTCATATCCCATCTATATCATTCTGCTCATCTCTCTCATATCTAGCTATCTATCTATCTCAGTTTGTTCATATCCCATCTATATCATTCTGCTCATCTCTCTCTATATCTATATCTATTCATCTATCTCAGTTTGTTCATTATCCTATCTATATCATTCTGCTCATCTCTCTCTATATCTAGCTATCTATCTCAGTTTGTTCATATCCCATCTATATCATTCTGCTCATCTCTCTCTATATATCTATTATCTATCTATCTCAGTTTGTTCATATCCTATCTATATCATTCTGCTCATCTCTCTCTATATCTAGCCATATCTATCTATCTCAGTTTGTTCATATCCCATCTATATCATTCTGCTCATCTCTCTCTATATCTATTTCTATCTATCTCAGTTTGTTCATATCCTATCTATATCATTCTGCTCATCTCTCTCTATATCTAGCCATATCTATCTATCTCAGTTTGTTCATATCCCATCTATATCATTCTGCTCATCTCTCTCTATATCTATCATCTATCTATCTCAGTTTGTTCATATTTATCATCATTCTGCTCATATCCTCATATATCTATATTCAGTTTGTTTATCTATATCATTCTGCTCATCTCTCTATATCTAGCCATCTATCTCAGTTTGTTCATATCCCATCTATATCATTCTGCTCATCTCTCTCTATATCTAGCCATCTATCTATCTCAGTTTGTTCATATCCCATCTATATCATTCTGCTCATCTCTCTCTATATCTAGCTATCTCATATCTAAGTTTGTTCACATCCCATCTATATCATTCTGCTCATCTCTCTCTATATCTATTCATCTATCTATCTCAGTTTGTTCATATCCCATCTATATCATTCTGCTCATCTCTCTCTATATCTATCTATCTATCTATCTCAGTTTGTTCATATCCCATCTATATCATTTCTGCTCATCTCTAGCTATCTTCATATCTAGCTATCTATCTATCTCATCTGTTTGTTCATATCTATCTAAGTTTGTATCATCTCTATCATCATCTCTCTCTATATCTATCTATCTATCTATCTGTTTGTTCATATCCCATCTATATCATTCTGCTCATCTCTCTCTATATCTAGCTATCTATCTATTTGTTCATATCCTATCTATATCATTCTGCTCATCTCTCTCTATATCTAGCTATATAAGTTTGTTCATATCCCATCTATATCATTCTGCTCATCTCTCTATATCTAGCCATCTATCTATCTAAGTTTGTTCATATCCCATCTATATCATTCCTCTCTCATCTCTATCTATATCTCTATATCTCAGTTTGTTCATATTATCTATATCATTCTGCTAATCATCTCTCTATATCTATCTATCTATCTAAGTTTGTTCATATCATCTATATCATTCTGCTCATCTCTCTCTATATCTAGCCTATCTATTTATCTCAGTTTGTTCATATCCCTATCTATATCTATTCTGCTCATATCTCTCATCTCTATCTAGCTATCTATCTATCTCAGTTTGTTTATATCCTATCTATATCATTCTGCTCATCTCTCTCTATATCTAGCTATTATCTATCTCAGTTTGTTCATATCCCATCTATATCATTCTGCTCATCTCTCTCTATATCTATCTATCTATCTATCTCAGTTTGTTCATATCCCATCTATATCATTCTGCTCATCTCTCTCTCTATATCTAGCTATCTATCTATCCTCAGTTTGTTCATATCCTATCTATATCATTCTGCTCATCTCTCTCTATATCTAGCCATCTATATATCTCAGTTTGTTCATATCCTATCTATATCATTCTGCTCATCTCTCTCTATATCTATATCTATCTATCTCAGTTTGTTCATATCCCATCTATATCATTCTGCTCATCTCTCTCATATCTATTCACTATCTATCTCAGTTTGTTCATATCCCATCTATATCATTCTGCTGCTCATCTCTCTATTTCTATATCTAGCTATCTATCTAAGTTTGTTCACATCCTATCTATATCATTCTGCTCATCTCTCTCTATATCTAGCCATCTATCTATCTCAGTTTGTTCATATCCCATCTATATCATTCTGCTCATCTCTCTCTATTATCTATCTATCTATCTCAGTTTGTTCATATCCCATCTATATCATTCTGCTCATCTCTCTCTATATCTAGCCATATTATCTATCTCTGTTTGTTCATATCCTATCTATATCATTCTGCTCATCTCTCTCTATATCTAGCTATCTATCTATCTCAGTTTGTTGTTTATCTATATCATTCTGCTCATTATCTCTCTATATCTAGCTACATCTATCTATCTCAGTTTGTTCATATCTTATCTATATCATTCTGCACATCTCTCTCTATATCTAGCTATAACTAGCTATCTATCTATCTATCTCAGTTTGTTCACATCCTATCTATATCATTCTGCTCATCTCTCTCTATATCTAGCTATCTATCTATCTCAGTTTGTTCATATCCCATCTATATCATTCTGCTCATCTCTCTCTATATCTATTCTCTATCTCAGTTTGTTCATATCCTATCTATATCATTCTGCTCATCTCTCTCTATATCTATCTATCTATCTATCTCAGTTTGTTCATATCCTATCTATATCATTCTGCTCATCTCTCTCTATATCTAGCTATCTATCTAAGTTTGTTCATATCCTATCTATATCATTCTGCTCATCTCTCTCTCTATATCTATCTATCTATCAATCTCAGTTTGTTCACATCCCATCTATATCATTCTGCTCATCTCTCTATATCTATCTATCTATCTAAGTTTGTTCATATCCTATCTATATCATTCTGCTCATCTCTCTCTATATATTCATCTATCTATCTCAGTTTGTTCATATCCCATCTATATCATTCTGCTCATCTCTATATATCTATATCTATCTATCTATCTAAGTTTGTTCATATCCCATCTATATCATTCTGCTCATCTCTCTCTATAACTAGCTATCCCATCTATCTATCTCAGTTTGTTCATATCCCATCTATATCATTCTGCTCATCTCTCTCTATATCTAGCCATAAGTTTGTTCATTAGTTTATCATTCCTCATCCCATATCTATATCTATTCTGTTTGTTCATATCCTCTCATATATCTCTCTCTCTATCTATCTATATATCTCAGTTTGTTCACATCCCATCTATATCATTCTGCTCATCTCTCTCTATATCTTGCCATCCATCTATATATCTATCTCAGTTTGTTCATATCCCATCTATATCATTCTCTCATATCTCTCTATATCTAGCTATCTCATCTATCTATCTCAGTTTGTTCATATCCTATCTATATATTCTGCTCATTCTGCTCATATCTCTCTCATATCTAGTTTGTTATATCTATCTATCTCAGTTTGTTCATATCCTATCTATATCATTTGTTCATATCCCATCTATCATTCTATATCATCTATATCTATCATCTCAGTTTGTTCATATCCCATCTATATCATTCTGCTCATCTCTCTCTATATCTATCTATCCAGTTTGTTCATATCATCAATATCAAAGTCATTGTTCTATATCCTCAGTTTGTTCATATCCCATCTATATCATTCTGCTCATCTCTCTCTATATCTATCCATCTATCTATCTCAGTTTGTTTCATATCCTATCTATATCATTCTGCTCATCTCTCTCTATATCTATCTATCTATCTCAGTTTGTTCATATCCCATCTATATCATTCTGCTCATCTCTCTCTATATCTATCTATCTATCTCAGTTTGTTCATATCCCATCTATATCATTCTGCTCATCTCTCTATATCTAGCTATCTATCTATCTCAGTTTGTTCATATCCCATCTATATCATTCTGCTCATCTCTCTCTATATCTAGCTATCTATCTATCTAAGTTTGTTCATATCCCATCTATATCATTCTGCTCATCTCTCTATATCTAGCTATCTATCTATCTCAGTTTGTTCATATCCCATCTATATCATTCTGCTCATCTCTCTCTATATATCTAGCTATCTATCTATCTCAGTTTGTTCATATCCTATCTATATCATTCTGCTCATCTCTCTCTATATCTAGCTATCTATCTATCTCAGTTTGTTCATATCCTATCTATATCATTCTGCTCATCTCTCTCTATATCTATCTATATCTATCTATCAGTTTGTTCATATCCCATCTATATCATTCTGCTCATCTCTCTCTCTATATCTAGCTATCTATCTAAGTTTGTTCATATCCCATCTATATCATTCTGCTCATCTCTCTCTATATCTAGCTATCTATCTCATCATATATCTATATATATCATCATCTCTCTATATATCTAGTTTGTTCACATCCCATCTATATCATTCTGCTCATCTCTCTATATATCTAGCTATCTATCTATCTATCTAAGTTTGTTCATATCCCATCTATATCATTCTGCTCATCTCTCTCTCTATATCTAGCTATCTATCTAAGTTTGTTCATATCCCATCTATATCATTCTGCTCATCTCTCTCTATATCTAGCCATCTATCTATCTATCTCAGTTTGTTCATATCCCATCTATATCATTCTGCTCATCTCTCTCTATATCTAGTTTATCTATCCATCTCAGTTTGTTCATATCCCATCTATATCATTCTGCTCATCTCTCTCTCATCTCTCTCAGCTATCTATCTATCAGTTTGTTCATATCCCATCTATATCATTCTGCTCATCTCTCTCTATATCTAGCTATCTATCTATCTCAGTTTGTTCATATCCCATCTATATCATTCTGCTCATCTCTCTCATATCTAGCATATCTAAGTTTGTTCATATCCCATCTATATCATTCTGCTCATCTCTCTCTATATCTAGCTATCTATCTATCTAAGTTTGTTCATATCCCATCTATATCATTCTGCTCATCTCTCTATATATCTAGCTATCTATCTATCTCAGTTTGTTCATATCCTATCTATATCATTCTGCTCATCTCTCTATATAATATATCTATCTATCTATCTAAGTTTGTTCATATCCCATCTATATCATTCTGCTCATCTCTCTCTATAACTATCTATCTATCTTTATCTCAGTTTGTTCATATCCTATCTATATCATTCTGCTCATCTCTCTCTATATCTAGCTATCTATCTATCTCAGTTTGTTCATATCCTATCTATATCATTCTGCTCATCTCTCTCTATATCTAGCTATCTATCTATCTCAGTTTGTTCATATCCTATCTATATCATTCTGCTCATCTCTCTCTATATCTAGCTATCTATCTATCTATGTATCTCAGTTTGTTCATATCCTATCTATATCATTCTGCTCATCTCTCTCTATATCTATCTATCTATCTATCTCAGTTTGTTCATATCCTATCTATATCATTCTGCTCATCTCTCTCTATATCTAGCTATCTATCTATCTCAGTTTGTTCATATCCTATCTATATCATTCTGCTCATCTCTCTCTATATCTATCTATCTATCTAAGTTTGTTCATATCCTATCTATATCATTCTGCTCATCTCTCTCTATATCTATCTATCTATCTAAGTTTGTTCATATCCTATCTATATCATTCTGCTCATCTCTCTCTATATCTAGCTATCTATCTATCTATCTCAGTTTGTTCATATCCTATCTATATCATTCTGCTCATCTCTCTCTATATCTAGCTATCTATCTATCTAAGTTTGTTCATATCCTATCTATATCATTCTGCTCATCTCTCTCTATATCTATCTATCTATCTCAGTTTGTTCATATCCTATCTATATCATTCTGCTCATCTCTCTCTATATCTAGCTATCTATCTATCTCAGTTTGTTCATATCCTATCTATATCATTCTGCTCATCTCTCTCTATATCTATCTATCTATCTATCTATCTCAGTTTGTTCATATCCCATCTATATCATTCTCTCTATATCTAGCTATCATCTCATCTATATCTAGTTTGTTATCCCATCATCTATCTCTCTATATGTATCTAAGTTTGTTGATATCCCATCTATATCATTCTGCTCATCTCTCTATATGTAACTATCTATCTATCTATCTATCTATCTCAGTTTGTTCATATCCCATCTATATCATTCTGCTCATCTCTCTATCAGTTTTTTTCTATATCTAGCTATCTATATCTATCTATCAGTTTGTTCATATCCCATCTATATCATTCTGCTCATCTCTCTCTCTATATCTATCTCATCTATCTATATCAGTTTGTTCATATCCTATCTATATCATTCTGCTCATCTCATTCATATATCTAGCTATATATATATAGCCATCTTCATCTATCTATCAGTTTGTTCATATCCCATCTATATCATTCTGCTCATCTCTCTCTATATATCTAGCTATCTATCTATCTATCAGTTTGTTCATATCCTATCTATATCATTCTGCTCATCTCTCTCTATATCTAGCTATCTATCTATCTCAGTTTGTTCATATCCTATCAATATCATTCTGCTCATCTCTCTCTATATCTATCTATCTAAGTTTGTTCATATCCTATCTATATCATTCTGCTCATCTCTCTCTATATCTATCTATCTATCTCAGTTTGTTCATATCCTATCTATATCATTCTGCTCATCTCTCTCTATATCTAGCTATCTATCTATCTATCTCAGTTTGTTCATATCCTATCTATATCATTCTGCTCATCTCTCTCTATATCTAGCTATCTCATTTGTTCATATCCTATCTATATCTCTGCTCATGTTCTCTATCTATATCCTATAAGTTTGTTCTATATCTATATCATTCTGCTCATCTCTCTATATCTATCTATCTATCTAAGTTTGTTCATATCCCATCTATATCATTCTGCTCATCTCTCTCTATATCTATCCATATATCCCAGTTTGTCATTCTGCTCATCCCATATCTATATCATTCTGCTCATCTCTCTCTATATCTATCCCATCTATATCAGTTTGTTCATATCTCTCATCTATATCATTCTGCTCATCTCTCTCATATCCCATCTAGCTATCTCATCTACCTATCTCATCTATGTTCATCATCCCATCTAGCCCATATCATTCTGCTCATCTCTCTATATCTATATCTAGCTATCTATCTAAGTTTGTTCATATCTATATCTATATCATTCTCATCATCATCTCTCTATATCTCTATATCTATCTATCTATCTCAGTTTGTTCATATCCCATCTATATCATTCTGCTCATCTCTCTCTATATCTAGCCATCTATCTATCTCAGTTTGTTCATATCCCATCTATATCATCTCATCTCATTCTGCTCATCATCTCTCTATATCTAGCCATCTATATATCTCAGTTTGTTAATATCCCATTCATATCATTCTGCTCATCTCTCTCTATATCTAGCCATTCATCTATCTCAGTTTGTTCATATCCCATCTATATCATTCTGCTCATCATCTCTCTATATCTAGCCATCTATTCATCTATCTATCTCAGTTTGTTCACATCCCATCTATATCATTCTGCTCATCTCTCACTATATCTAGCTATCTATCTATCTATCTAAGTTTGTTCATATCCTATCTATATCATTCTGCTCATCTCTCTCTATATCTAGCTATCTATCTATCAGTTTGTTCATATCCTATCTATATCATTCTGCTCATCTCTCTCTATATCTAGCTATCTATCTCAGTTTGTTCATATCCTATCTATATCATTCTGCTCATCTCTCTCTATATCTAGCTATCTATCTATCTCAGTTTGTTCATATCCTATCTATATCATTCTGCTCATCTCTCTCTATATCTATCTATCTATCTCAGTTTGTTCATATCCTATCTATATCATTCTGCTCATCTCTCTCTATATCTATCTATCTAAGTTTGTTCATATCCTATCTATATCATTCTGCTCATCTCTCTATATCTATATCTATCTATGTTCATATATCTAAGTTTGTTCATATCCCATCTAGCCATCATCTAAGTTTGCTCATCTCTCTCATTCTATCTCATCTATCTATCTATCTCAGTTTGTTCATATCCTATCTATATCATTCTGCTCATCTCTCTCTATATCTAGCTATCTATCTATCTCAGTTTGTTCATATCCTATCTATATCATTCTGCTCATCTCTCTCTATATCTAGCTATCTAGGTCTGTTTATATCTACCTGTAAACTTTTTCAGATGTAACATGGATAAAGATATTTTGTACACTTATACAAACAGAAAAAATATATATAGGGCGAATCAGTTAACTAGGAATAAATTATAATATAAACAAAAACAAAGATATTCAACAGAAAAAAATGAGTGTATTTCAAAGAAATTGTGTACACATGTTCAACTCAGAAAAAAAGAAAATGATTTATTCAATAAAAATGTCAAGGAACCAGTTGTGTGGGTGATGTGACAAGATTGTAAAAAATCTCTGCCAGAATGAAGGATAACAGATGGAGCAGAAGGTTGTTTGTTTGGTGCCCAATGAATAACAAATCTAGTCAGAGAAGAGTAAGATATCACAGAGATTAGCATTGTTACATTTGTGATGGAAGGAGGTGTGAAAAGTCTCTGTTCAAAGTTTGATTTGTAAGGACTAAAATATTATATATGCGTGGATTTGCCCATTGAGAACAATAAATGAGAATTCAATAAATTTAAAGTTTTACTGAACAACCTGCATAAAAGAATTGTTTAAAACGCTCAACTGCCTGTACTCAGCAAGGCACACTCTTTCCATGAAAGCACCGTGTCCTCTGCTGTGAGTCACATGTCTGATGATGCTACAATCACAGACTTTTTATAGGAATTTTCCATCGCTTAATGAAGGAGGACTTGGAAAACTTAATACTCACAGGGCATATAGAGAGTAAGGGAGATAGGGGAAGGCAGCAGGCTACTAAACAAAATAAGCTTGTGTGAATGGATGATGGAACTTCTTAGCAAAGGGAGAAAAACTGTTAAGAGCTACACAAGATAGGAAGTTGTGGAGAGCCATGATCATGTATATCCTGAAGGGATATATTAGATAGAAGAAGAAGCTGGAATTTGTGCAATTGGATAAATCCACATTTTTTTTATTTCACTCGCTGTTTGACAACCACCCAACAAACACATGATCATAGGTTTTGGAGTGTAATAGGATATGAGTTAATAGATAATGCTAATTCTTAATAGCCACCAACCTACCAAAAGTTACACTTTTCATTTTTAGGTGAAAACACAAACTATGTTAAAACCTAAATAAGTAGTTAAAATTAAGTGAGAGCAAAAAAACAAATTTTCTTTATTATTTCTTTATTTTTATTTCTTCTCAAAAGCAGTAGATAAGTTTTCTACTTCTGACCAGGAGTAGGGGGTTATCCTTTGTTTCTTGTTTAAGATTGGGTTTCCAGTTCCTTCTAAAGTCTACTCCAACTCTATACTTCTAAGATCTCCATCTAAACTTCAAAATGTTATTTTTTTTTTTTTACCTCAACAGGAGTAGATAGGTTTGCCTATCATTGAGTTCACACCCCTTCCCAATTTTTTGAAAGTGGGTAGAGGTTGATCTCTTGTTTCCTTTTTAGGATTGGGTTTCTGGTTCCTTCCAAAATCTACTTCAACTCTAAATTTCTAATGTCTCTGCCTAAACTTTGAGATTTTATTTATTATTTATTTAAGTTTTTTTTTTTCCTCAGTAGGATTAGATAGGTTCACCTATCAACTAGTTCATGCTTATCCCTGATCTTTTGAACAGGAGTAGAGGTTTATCCCTTGATTTCTGGTTTTTTTTTTTTTTTAGGATTTTAGATAAGTTCACCTATCAACTAGTTCATGCTTATCCCTGATCTTTTGAACAGGAGTAGAGGTTTATCCCTTGTTTCCTGTTTAAGATTGGATTTCTGGTTCTTTTTTTTTTTTTTTTTAACATTGAGCTTCATTCTGTACTAGGCCCAGAGGCCATTTCAGGTAGAAGGTTACAGAGTAAGAGGCAGTTTATGCAGATAAGAGAGGAGATAATGATTAACCCTAGACTTAAACAGGTTAAGATTGTAGTGATTGGAGAAACATCCTCTTGGGTAGTCAGTTCCACAGTGCAGTGGTTCACAGAAAGAAACAGTTTGAGTGGAACATGGAGGGAATGAGTGTTATTCATGACAATGTGAGTGGTATGGTAGGTCCTAGGTTAGAACTGGTGGAACCAAAGAATGTGGTTCACTTTCCATGGAAGTAGTGATAGAGCAACAAGGGGCTTGCCACATCCTGTCTGTGAGAGAGGGGTTGGAGGATGGAAAATAATCTGTCACCCAAAATGACTCAGAGATGCATTTGGACCCTATTGAGACTGGAAAGTAAAGACTGGGCAGCTACTGCCCAAATACGACAACAGTACTCCATTTTCGCTCATGATCTGGCTCTTGTAAAGGTAGAATATAGCACAAGGAGTCAGGTACTTACTAGTGTGGTACAGTGAACTAAACCTTTTTTCTGTATCTTTAGACATGGATTATATGTACGAGTTCCCTTAATGTCAGGGGTGAATTTAAGGCCCAAAAGTCTCTCAAGGCATGGGACCTCCATTCATCATGATTGGTAGTAGTTTGGGGGTCTGACTGACAAAGATGGAATGTAAGTAGTTTGGTTTTTGAGGCATTGAATGTAACAAGCCAGTTTTTCCCCGCTGAAATGTTAGAGTTAGTTCAAAGGAGAGATCAGCTGGTAATCTAAAAAAGTCTATTTCAACTCTATACTTCTCATGTCTCTGTCTAAACTCTGAAATTTTATTTACTATTTTTGTATTTATTTATTTTTTTATCTTAATAGGAATATATAGGTTCACACAGTGTCCAGTTCACACTCCTCCATGGTCTTTTGAACAGGAATAGACGTTTATCCCTTGGTTCCTGGTTCCTTTTAAAGTCTGCTTCAGATGTGTACTCCTAACGTCTGTGCCTGAACTCTGAAATTTTTTTCACTAATTAGTTATTTTATTTTACTTTTTTTTCCCCTGCTTCACCAATAAGAGTAGATAGGTTTGCCTATCATCTGGTTCACAATCCTCGCTGGTCTTTTGAACAAGAGTAGAATTTTATCACTTGTTTCCTATTTAGGATTGGGTTT